TGAGGCCACATTCTCTCTGTTTCCAGTCGAGGCCGGTGTACCCCAGGGCTCGGTGCTAGGACCAGTTTTATACAACATCTACACATCTGATCTCCCAACCTCAGACGATATTACAGTTGCCACATACGCCGACGATATCGCTCTTCTAGCTGTGGACGCAGATCCCACGTCAGCAAGTGGAAAATTGCAACGACTTCTCGACGACACATCAGACTGGCTCAAAAAATGGCGAATTAGAGCCAGTGCTCAGAAATCCAGTCATATTACATTCACACTGAGAAAAGAAAACTGTCAACGGGTATACTTAATGAATAACATCTTGCCCCAAAGTAACTGCGTAAAATATCTTGGCTTTCACTTAGATAGACGCCTAACATGGAAAACCCACATAAAAGCAAAATGAGATCAAATCAACCACAAATTCAGAAGTCTATACTGGATGATGGGCAGAAACTCAGTGCTCTCCTTGGACAACAAAATACTTATATACAACTCCATTCTGAAACCCAGTTGGACCTATGGCATTCAGCTGTGGGGAACGGCCAGTAAGAGTAATGTCATGTGCTTGCAGAGAGTACAAAACAACATACTGAGGAGTATCGCAAATGCCCCCTGGTTCACGAGGAACGACGAGATACATGAGTATCTGAACATTGCAATAGCAGCCTCAGAAATAGAACGCTATAAAAAACTGTACAGCAAACGTCTTGCCCAGCACCCCAATCCACTTGCTTCTGGATTGCTTGACAACGCCAACGTGGTTAAGAGGCTGAAAAGAAACCACGTACTTTGAGTAGACAGCGAGGCATTGGCCTTGCTGCTCTATCAGTCATAACCTACCGCTCAACCCACCTGCTTATAGTTTGGCGACTGATTGCAGGGGACTACCACTTAATACTATATTTTATATTTTCTTTATGGTTATAAATAGAATAATGGCAACACTATACATACATACATACATATATATAGATTACCAATTAATATTTTAAAATTGTAATAATTATAATAATAACAGCAAAATTAAATAAATAAAATTCCATATTCAATTATAAAACTAATTAAAATTATTATAAAAATGTTTAAAGTTAAAAAATATTGTAAGGTAATTGGCGAAAATTTCGTTTTATTAATTGTGGGTAGGTTATCTGTAAGAACTATACCTTCGACACATGTAACACCTCAGTCTCTCCCGTGACCATGAATGCTGTAAAGCATTCGAAACGTCGGGAAACAAAAATGCAAATAAATCCGCAACAAAACCCGAAAAGATAGTTTTATTTAGAATTCTTGACTATTAAATAACTAGCGACTCACCCTCGCTTTGCTCGGGTTCGTCCCTAGCTTGCTTCCTCATACAAACTTTCATCCCCATTCTCCCCCTTAAGGGATGATTTTCAGGATAAAAACTATTTCACTCACTCACTTTTCGTTTTCATATTATGAGATTTAAAAAAATCTCATTTTAGTTTTAAAAAAAAAATCTTTTAGTTTTCTTCTATACAAAACTTTTCCTGTCAATAACAAACACAAAAACAAAAAGAATTATCCAATTTGGTGCAGCTGATCGGAAGTTATGCATGTACATACATTTCGGTTATTCATTTTTAATATAAGATAGATATCGGACACTAGGCATCGGCATTGACACCTAATCTGTGTTTATGTGAAAAAGGCCTTATTCCTCAAAATTTTGAAATATCCTACCTTTTGCATCATAGTGCGTTATCAAGGAACCTTAATAAAGAAGTAATATCAATATCGACCTGACCAATTTCGGCCACGGCAGTCCATCTCACCGAGACCTGTCAAGTGTGCAGGAGATATTATAGAGCATAAGTGTATGCGCGTGCGTGTGCCAGTGCGCTTTCTATTCCTTTCACTCTTTAAACTCCGGTGAGACGACAATTTGACACGACTGGTAAGAAATCAGGCGCATGACTGATAATTTACGTTTGGGTTTGGGAACAAAATATTGTAAACCTGAAGTTTTATGATTTTAAAATGTTAGCAGGTATATAAGGAATAGAAATTCCTAAAATGCCCCCGATGCCCAGCTACCCCCAAGAAATGGGGGGGGACGCAAAGCGTTGAAAAATATTATTTTTTCCAATTTTTGGCTTACTGTGATGATTTTTTAACAAAACTATGGCTAAATTTTATGAATATCAACTAATTTTTTTTAAACATGTTTTTAACTAATCAATAAACAAGATTAGACTATGGATGAATTTCATTTCGTTCTGTAATTACCTTAAAATCAAATTTTTCAGAAAAATCAATAAAATTAACTCCAAAATCGATCAAAAACGAATAAAATATCGTTAAATTCGAAAAAATTATAACCTAAATAGATTCCACGGCAAAAAAAAACACAAGCAGTGGTATTCTTTCTTTACGTTAATCCCAACTTTTCTTATTTTTTCACGACTCGTCAAATTGCAAAGTTGGAATGTTTACGGCGACATTGTATAAATAAAAACCGTCAAATTAAAATCTTAAAGACACCATTTTTTCCGTTTTTTCCTGAAAAATACATTGGTGTAATCAGTTTATAAAAATTTGATCAATAAAGTATACTTCTTCAATGATAATTGAAAAAAATGTAGTGTACAAAGTAAAAATTATAGATTTCTCCAACTTTTTAAATTTACAAGGCAGCCAATGGCCATACGATGTTTTTATATTTTCAAAAGGTAGAGTTCAAGACGAAAAGAATGAGCTCTATTTGAAAATTGAACGTATTTTTTTTAAATGTAAACGTCCACTTGAAGTTGGGAGTGATTTTCAACCTCTCAAGAACATAAAACATACTTTTCTCGGAAATGACTAAACATTTAATTTTTTTTTATTTATTATATTATGTATTTTGAATATTACATTCCCTTAGTTTCATGGAAATCAAAAGATTATTTTAGAAATTAAAAATAAAAAACCAAGAAAAAGTTAAAAACCGGTTTTTTTGCAAATATCTCGAAACTTTGATGTTATTGTAAAAAGCGTTATTTATAAAAGTTGTAGATTTTTGCTAAACCTACAGCTTTTGTACAAAACATTTTTCGATAGAACATCACAGTAAGCCGGAAATTGAAAAAACTATTTTTCAACGCTTTGCGTCCCCCCATTTCTTGGGTGTAGCTGGGCATGAGGGGCATTTTACGAATTTCTATTCCTTATATACCTGCTAACATTTTAATAGTAGGGGAGCCCAAGAGGGATTTTCTGTAGTTACTCGAGCGCGGCAGATTAACATAAAAGAGGTTACCTTGCACTCTATTGAGTACTTTCACCATAATATAAGTCTTCTATATAAAGGGGCGCGTCTAGGGAAGCCGATTAAAATATTTAAAAAATGTTTCCCTAGACGCGCCCCTTTATATAGAAGACTTATATTATGGTGAAAGTACTCAATAGAGTGCAAGGTAACCTCTTTTATGTTAATCTGCCGCGCTTGAGTAACTACAAAAATCCCCTCTCGGGCTCCCCTACTATAAAATCATAAAACTTCAGACTTTCAATATATTTTTTTGCCTTAAAAATAAACGGATTCCGATTGGTCTAATAATAAAATTCTAACTGAGACGAATTTGTAAATTAAATATTTTTTAGAAAATCTTATTGAAATAGTACTATACTACAATAATATACTATTACTGATACAGAGGCCGAATCTGTAGTTTTTAGAATTTTTGTCTGTTTGTCTGTCTGGGAACGCATCATGAGAAACCCACTGGATAGATTTTGATGACATTTAGTATAAAGATAGCTGGGTATCCAAGTCTAACATATAGGATATTTTTCACTGCGGAAAAATATGTCATCTCTGAGAAATCTCTGAGGGTGAGTTGCTAGTTTATTATAGTATTTAAGAGTAGAGTAGTATTAATTATTTACTTGTGTTAATAAACAGCACAATATTACATAACATTCAATATCAGTGAGAGAATTTTATACTTGATAATTACATACTTATATAACACTACATATATCAGCATACCTATCACTGACTCGATATAAAAAAAATTAAAGTTGCAAATAAAAACCAATAATCTTAATGAACTAATTATAAATTATATAATAATGAAAGCGAAAGTGTTTCTTTGTGGTCTCTTTACGCTATAATGGAATAACCCTAACGGGTTGTTCTAACAAACAAACCTTTCGATTCACAATAACTTTTATGAAAAATATATGTATTCAGAAAGGAGATAGATAATGTATATTTTTCTAGATTTTTTTTGATTCCCTTAATATTACAAAAACTATGATAGATAACGTCATGGAAGTTTTATTCAGGGATTTGTGTCAAGGACATTTATCCAATAGACATTAAATGGAGGATGGCCGAAACTTAGGTAAAATAACACACTCTGCAACGCATCAATAATTCATAATGACATTTTTGATGTATTGATGCATTGCAGAGATTGCACATATGATTTGTCCATATAACTCAAAGAGTATCCGTGTGATATTAATGTATTATAATCTATACTAATACTATAAAGAGGTAGTTTGTGAGTTCGTGAGTTTGTGACGTTGTAGGGGGTAATTTCTGGCTCTACTGAACCGATTTAGACGAAATTTGGTAAGAAGATAGTTTGAAACCCTGGGAAGGACATAGGATAGTTTTTATCCCAGAAATCATTCCTTAAGGGGGTGAAAATGGGGACAAACGTTTGTATCGGGAAGCAAGGTACATTAAATATTTTTTGGAAAATCTTATTGAAATAAACATTATTATCGATACAAAGGCCGAATATATATTTTTTAAAATTTTTGTCTGAATCTGATCTGATTTTGATGAAATTTTGTATGGTGATAGCTGGTTATCCGGGTCAACATATAGGATACTTTTACTGGGGGAAAATATCTTATTTCAGAGAATGTAAGAGTATACAAATCTGTAAAAACTAAGAATTTGGTTTTTCATAAGTTATTATGACTTCAACAAATAAGGGTAGTAACCAAAGATGCTAATAATAACAATCGAAACTTACTGGCATATCTCGTGGGGCTTTTACAACTTCAGGAAAATGAGCATGTCTTGGTAACCAGCAAGATAGCGACATCACTCCAGCCAGAGGTTCAGGATATGTAAGAGCTGCGTGCAAGGCCAAAGCTCCTCCTTGAGAAAACCCGCCCAACAAAACTCTATTTGCAGGAATACCACCCTTAAACCAAAAAAATATATAAGTAAAACAAAAACAAGGGACATTCTAATCTAATCATATAAATAAAGCATAATTTATAATTGTTTTACCTTGACTTCATCTGCTATTAATCCATGAACGAGATTTGTGGCTCTCACAATACCTTCTTCATCTTCTGGAGCTGTTGCATCTAGTGTTCTTAAATCAAACCAAGAAGGCATCCGAAATCCAGCATTAAGTGTCACTGGAATTGTTGACGCTGTAGGGCATATCACCTTAACATGGGGTCCCCTAATAGCAGCAATTGTGCTTGCCCAGCCATGGCTGCATTAAAGTAATTTAGAAATTTTATATTAAAAACATATTTAAGAAGCGATATTTAATAAAATTAATAATACCTACCCCGTATCGCCGAGTCCATGTAAAAATATAAGCTGTAAAAATAAAATATACTTTTTAGATACTTTTACAAATATCAATAACAATGGTAAGATTATATGATTCATACCGATGCTGTTTGTTTTGCTGTAGCAGCAATAATTACAGGATTCGGTTCCATTATCAATTACGTGAAAATCAATACAAACTGCCGTCAGTACTGCAGTAAACTTATCCAACACACACAAATGAAGAATTAAATGTCTACAATCTACATAATCTAATGCCAACCAGACAAAGCAGCACAGATATTAGTCCTGCAATTTTTTAAAGAGAAATATGTTCTGTAATATTATAAAATTAAAATATACTTTATACTCAATTAACGAAAATATCGCAAGCTAAAATTACAATTTAGATCCTAAAATTTTTTCGTAAAATTTATCATGTTAAATATATTATCTATAGTTTTTACGGTAAAATTTGTAGTCTGTATTATGAGACTATAATTTTTATTATTCATCTATGACAATAAAATGAGCAAAATATTTATTAATCTGTGACAATGAGTACTCTGAAAATATTTGGACGTTGTTTATTATGTTTTGTGATCCTTGAATGATCTAGAAATCTGGAAACCCATAGGAATATTTTAAATATCATATAAATGGTAGACCTTAAAAAGTTTGTATTTCTTTTAAATTGTAAACATTTGCAATACATTACGAATATTACCAAGCCAATGACAACTCCTTGTTGCAATATTTTGTTACACAAACATTATTAAACATTGTTTGATTTTTCTTTAAACGTTTCAAATATCTCAATAAACAGGTCATAAATTTGCTTATGTACAATCACTATGCAGGTGAAACAATTAACAAAGTAATTAACTGAATGTTTGGATAAACTATCACTTACTAATATTTATGGCAACTCATATTGTTTACCTACTAAATCATAAATCTAAAAGTTACTCAATATAATATAATAATTGTTTTTATTTCATGTTTATTTTTCAGAATACGTAAATAATGGCTACAGATGACATTTCATTGAGAGTTGGGATGGGAAGGTTGGAAATAGAACCAAAAACAATATTAAATGTTGTTATCAAAGAAGAAAACCCTTTTTTAAATTCTTTACAACGAAAAAGCTATAGTTTTAAATCTTCAACTCACAATTCGAAGTGTACTTGCTTAGGGCAAAAGAAAAAAAATAATTTCATCAGCAAAAAAAAACTTAACAAGCTTTTAAAGGAGCCTATATTAAAACTATCTTCCCCTCCATTTAAGATACACAACATCAAAAATGAATGCCAATTGTTCAATAAAAACTTGTTAGAAATGGGATCATCTCAAAAGTTAAGTTTTGATCCCTTGTGTGTATTAGTTGATAATTGCAATCAACTAAGTATATCATCTGATAAAGGTAAAACATGTATCAAAATGAATAAAGTAAATGATTGTGCCAAATGGTGGAAAAGCGAAAATTTAAATGAAAAACAGTCAAAAGACTCTTCTGAGAGAAGTTCCACTGGATCATGTTCACAACAAGCATTGAATCCTCCTTGTGACGTAACTATCGATGAACTAGCTAGTTATTTTGAAACACTAGTGCATATACCAAAAAAGATGTCTTCAATGGCTGAAATGATGTATATATAATGTTACATATTTTATAGTTACGTAAAAACAATTCTGTGGTCCATTGTATTATTCTTAAGTAATTTTAAATAAAAAATTGTCTTTGAACATGTAAAATTTCACTTATCTGCATTATGAATCTGTTATTCTATTAAAATTAAAATATCTACACACACATTTACAATAATTTTGTACATTGAAGGAGTTTTTATGGTATTTAATCCAAGAAAATACCCTTTCCATTGTTTCAACTTGTGTAATAGAGATTTTATAATTGCTTAATTCTTATTCAATTATTAATTGATATTTAGATCATTATTTAAAAATGTTGAACCTAAATAGATTCATTTATATGTAAATATTGTTTAATGTTATTTTAAATACATGAATTATGCCTTTCATAATATCAATTGATCTAAACTTAATAATAGATTGCTTCATATACTTTTTTCATTTCAAGATGTCTTGATAAAGTTTGATGTTATATTGATAATCAGACATATTCTTGGATTGAAAGTTTATGAATATTACATTATTTTTTCTGTTCAATCAAAATATAATTATAACTTTTAAATTATTTACAAAAAGAAAAAGATTACATATGAAATGTTGAATATAAGAATGAAGATTTTTGTTTAACTCCTAATGCCAATAATTTCCTAATTTTAAACATAAAATAATATGTTCAGGTCAATTCCATAATAAAATAGAGTTACCCACTTATTTAAATGTCATATTAATGTGTCTCAATATAGGTAGTTATAATAGCCTTTTATCTATGAATCATATTTTATTTTTTAATTGTAAAAAAATCAGATGGTGGCTTACAGTACTATACATAGGAAATTGTAATGCATGTCAGTTTAGAAACTGCCACTTGTAAGTTGTTTCAATTTTGTACTATATCATGTATGTATGTTGTAACTTGATGGTACATTATCTATTTTAATTTAACTATATGAATTATAAAGTTTGAAAATAATATTTTCTGGTCACAATAAATGTCTTAATTACAGATTATCTAAATAAAAAAATATGTTTAATTTTTTGTTTTATTAGAAACTTTACACACTATAGATTATGCCAATGGGTCATTAGCTTTCTTTCTGGACGTAGCATAAAAGTTGTCATTGACGGTATATGCTCCGACACTGTTCAGATCAACGCTGGCGTACCCCATGTCTCAGTGCTATCGCCTACACTGTTTATTCTGCATATCAACGATATGTTATTAACTAACAACGCTCATTGCTATGCAGATGACAGTACAGTCGATGCCTATTATACTGGCCGAGCTAGCATCTCTCGGGCTAAGGTTGAGGAGAATAGAGTCCAACTTGTGTCTGAAATCGAGACTTCCCTAGAGCAGATCTCCGATTGGGGCCGACGAAATCTCGTCCAGTTTAACCCCTCAAAGACACAAGTTTGTGCGTTCTCCACGAAAAATAATCCATTCACTATAGCGCCAAAGTTCCAGAACACTTCTCTTAACATCTGTAAGAGTATCGGGATCCTAGGGGTCCAAATATCGAGCGACGTCCAATTTAGATGTCATCTGGAAGAAAAAGCCAAATTGGCTTCCAAAAAAATGGGTGTCCTTAACAGAGAGAAACAGCATTTCACGTCAGGGCATCGACTTTTGCTTTATAAAGCACAGGTTCGCCCTCTCATGGAGTACTGTTCTCATCTCTGGGCCGGCGCCCCCCAATACCAGCTTCTTCCATTTGACTCTATCCAACGCCGGGCAGTTCGTTTTGTCAACGATCCCGTACTCACAGACGACTTAGACACTCTAAGCCTTCGGAGAGACGTTGGCTCTCTGTGTGTTCTCTATCGTCTATACAATGGAGAGTGTTCTGATGAACTTTTTGACATGGTGCCACCGTCGCGCTTCTATCATCGCACCCTTCGCCGTCGGGTAGGATGTCATCCACACATTTTAGATGCTTGGCATTCTACAAATGTACGTGCGTCTCGATCTTTTTTACCCCGCACGTGCAAGATGTGGAATGATCTTCCTCCCGAGGTATTCCCTGAGCGCTATAATATGGGGCTCTTCAAGAGTAATGTCTATAGGTCCCTTAAAGGCCGGCAACGCATTCGCAACTCTTCTTGTGTTGCAGATGTCTATGAGCGACGATAGCCACTTACCATCAGGTAGATCGTTTGCTCGTTTGCCCCTTTTTTCTATAAAAAAAAAATGGTTCAGACTGTTACAAAAACCTCAGAAATTAAGATTTTTGGTGCGAGTCCAGATCACTATCCTGTGTTTATAGAAAAGAGTTATTGACCTTTACTCAGTAAAAAAAATAGTTTCGATTGTCTGATTCGAAATGTAGTTTCAACCCGGTGAAATCCTGAATATGCATATCGTCATTTGATTGAATTGCATTGTACCGAGATAGCTCTACCGTATCCGATCAAAGTGTAGAAAATAAAAAATAACCATTACAACTGGTCTAGTAGATAAAACATGGCGCAGAACACAAGACAAAACGCTTCAGTTTGTTTTTGCCCTACCCGCAACACAACTAAGAATATTTAACTGCTATTAATTTGGACATATAGATTATGTATTTAAAAAATATTTCTAATAAAAAGAACATTGACATCAGTCCATACTTATCTATCACGCCGAAGGTTACTTTGATTTCCGTTGTATTGTTCATACTACGTACACATATTCGTATCTGTACGTTCATACGAAAATTACTTTAATTAAATTATAAATACATATACGTATACACCTAATATCTTATCATTAAAAATTAAAAAAAAACCCCTACTTACAAACTGCTTGACCGATATTAACCAAACATAGCTAAGAACCACCGCAAGGAAACTGGCTTTCAAATGAAAGAAAACGCATCCAAATCGGTCTATCCGTTTGATAGCTACATGCTACAGCAGACACACACACACATGCAGACATACATCGACGTCAAACTTATAACACCCCTGTTTTTGCGTCGGGGGTTAAAAATGCGTAACAGTCAGTTTTTTTTTAAATACAGATTTCATTTTGTTACTATTTTATTTTATGACTGCGGAGAAGCCCAAAGGAGGGCTACGTGTTTGTCCTGTATGTATGTATGTATGTCCGACTCTATGTTCCCTTATAAATAGTGGTGGATTTACCAGCAGGCTCAGTAGGCTGGACCCTAGGGCGGCAGATTTTAGAGGCAAATTTGGGGCCAAAACTTTTTTGTTTTACAGAAATTAAAAATATTCTTAGTTACCTAAATCATAAATGTTTATGTCATTCAACATGTAATATGGTTCACCACTAAGACAAATTTTTCAAGAATTTGCTTAATATTGGTTCAAGAAATTATGGCTGGCAAAAATTTACGACTGAAATCGGGAAAGTACATTACTGTGTAATTAGTAATTAACCGCGAGGTGTTAAGGCTTACTTTATATCCTGCCTTATTAGTAGTACATGATTGAACTTTTATTAGCTCAGAACTCAGAAGTATACCCTGTATACCCAAAAACTATTTCTTTTGCAATCTTGGATTGTAAAAATAATCTAGGAATTGACACTGATAGAGGTCGATAGGGGCGGCAAAATTTGAAGAGCCTAAACTGGCAGCAAATGTGTGAATGCGCCATTGCTTGATTTTGATGATTAATACGTCGTTAGATTCATCTTGATAATGCGAGTGTCATAACTCATAGGCTATGTAGAAGTAGTTATAAATTAAAATAACGGATTTCAAACGCATATTTGTGTGACTACATATGTTTTTCTTTCAATTACCTATCCATATTGTAGGGTATTAAGCTGAGTCGATCACAAAAATATTTTATATTAATCATTTAAATTATATGCTTAAAAGTAATTTAAGATAAGAAATTGGTAAATATAACTTCAAATGTCTAATTGGCCAAAACTAAAAAGCTGCAAATAAAAAAATATATTTTAAAAATTAAAAACCCGACTGCGTCAAAGCTAACTAAAAAGATGAAAACTTATTATGGTCTGCGAAACCAAGAGGCACATTGAGAGGCGGCCCACTTCTGTGGGCGGTGTACCATATGCATGATGTTCCTCGTACTTCTCCGATAGCAGAATGGACCATGGGAGCAACCCTTTGGTTCTTGTGGTCTGCTTCGGCAGGCAGTAGCTCGGTCGCGGTCGATTGTGTGACTCACGTAAGCGATCCTGCGAGGCCCCATTAAGACGGCGGACGGGTTCTGTAGAGTTTAAGCGGGTAGTAGGCACCTACCTATTGGCAGTACCGTCTTAACCATAAGGGCAAACGGGGCACCGGCCAAGGACCTCCACCAGCCCCATGGGGGCCCCGCAAAGACAAAATATTCGTTTACATTGAACAGAGAGGAGCTTGATTTTTTGCCTATAATTACTCTATGAACTATAGATTTTTTTTAATTAAATAAAAATCAGACCAGATTTCGTACTTCGTTTTCAAAACAGTTAACATTTCACAAAGCAGAATAAAATAAACATCTATGTGTTGTGTTTTTCTTTCACAAATATGCTAAAGAAAGCAGCGCGGGAATCGTCTAGTAAAACCAGCAAAGAGAACACTGAAAGAAGGATGTATAACCTAATTCATAACCTAAAGAAGTTACTAAATAATAAGTTTGTAAAGGTCTTAATATGACAACAATCTACGCCACATGACTAACGCATATTAATTACATAAAAATGTAAATAAATATCTAGAGAAGCATCCGATAAAGTTTAGTATACTATTTATTTAAACTAAACTATTACTTAGGTCTGACAAGTTAATAAAAAGTAATGAGTGATTCAATCGATTATTATAAAATGAAGAAAATAAACGTAAACTGGTCTGGAATCTTTGTGGATGCGTACACGTACACTTCAAATATGCTGCTATTTATGCTGATTATAGTTGTATTTTCAGTATTTTGGGTGTGGATATACGAAAATCCCCATTTCTATAAGGTTAATACTTATTGAACATAAATTTAACCGTAGTAGGATCGCTTTAGACATATCTAAGATTATAAGAAAGTAATTTGCCTGTTTTCTTTTAAAGATTTCGGGCTAGCCATTCGCTCTTTAATAGAATAAAAATATGCTTTGGTACTATTTCCTTATTATGCCTTTTTTGAGTAAACAACTAAGACGGTAAGGGTAAGAAGGATAAGTCGATGATGTTTTTATTCAACAGACTAGCATTGCACGCGGCTCCGCCCGCGTTCAGATGACCAAAAACCAAATTCTTAGGTTTTACATATTAGTATATACTCGTACATTGCAGTTATTCTATTTTTTCTCGAAAATGAGATATTTTCCCGCGGTAAAAAGTATTTTATATGTTAACCCGAATAACCAACTATCACCATACCAAATTTCATCAAAATCCCTCGAGTTGTTTTTCTGTGATGCGGTAACAGACAGACAGACAGACAGACAAAAATTCTAAAAACTATAAATTCTTATGTTTATTTCAATAAGATTTTCCAAAAAATATTTAATGTACAGATTCGGCTTAGTTACAATTTTATTATATGTACCTATAGATAATAAAAGCTAAATATTTTTTCAGTTGATCTTTAAAAAGAGTAAGCACTATATGCTAACCCCAGTCGAAAGCAATGAACATTTGGAGTATAATTTATTAAATGATAAAGAAATATCAACTACAACAGTCCTCAAGAGATTAGCCGAAATTTCTAAAGATAGATTTGAGCCAAATACCCAAAATACGTTACTATATTATAGGTTCATCGTAGGTACCATATGTTATAAATCCAAAAAAGGCGTTTGAGTGTTGTTACTTATTTATTTTTAATAAAACCAATACTAGAATTCATGGACGAATTGTGGTTAATTCGTTCATGCTAGAATTTAATAAAATATTCTTTTCTTTCATTTAACTCGTCGTCTCAGCCCAAACACGTCCACTGCTGGACATAGGCCTCCCCCAAAGATTTCCACGACAACCGGTCTTGCGCCATCCGCATCCAGTGGACTCCAGCGACTTTGACCAAGTCATCGGTCCACCTTGTGGGAGGCCTACCCATTCATTTAACTATTAAAGTTAATTCTCTTTTTATTTTCTTTAAAATATAGCTTTTCCGTTTTACTAATGTTCAATGTACAAACAAAATTTTGAAGTTTCCACCCAGCATGCAGCATAACGTACCTTTTTTTTTTTTTTTTTTTTAAAGTTGGGAAATGCATTTACGCACGAGGTGTGGGACTCACCGGCAAAGCCAGTACTACCCACTAAAACCCAACAAAGCCTTCCCCCGTCTTAATGGGGCGTCGCAGGATCGTTTACGCATTCAACTACGACGCCCCGACGGCAGGTCTGCCGAAGCAGACCACAACAACCACGGGGTTGCTCCAAGGTCCACTCTGCTATCAGAGAAGTACCAGGAGCAACCCGCATGGTACACCGCCCCCCGAAGAGGGCCACCTCCCACCGCCCACCGAAGTGGGCCACCTCCCTGTGCGTTTCTTGGCTTCGCGCCCGGTTGGGTTGCCGGGCACTACTGAGCCCCCCCACCACGACAAGGTAAACGCACGTTGGGGGGGAGCATAACATACCTACAGACTAAATAGATATAGGATCGGAGAGGAATAGTATCAAACTAGCGGCTGACCCTGGCTTCGCTCAGATTTGTCCTTAAGTATGTTTTAACGGTTAGTATGGAATAGATAAACTATTGTATTTTATAACTGCTCCGGATTCAAATCTGATTAGTAATTCCTGATTAGCGCGTTCAAACAAACAACCTCTGTCTCTTTTTAATAATAGTATGATTAAAAATATTATGAAACTTATCACAACTTGCATAACAATTATTATTGTATAGGTACTAGCGGCTCACCCTGGCTTCGCTTGGGTTCGCCTCTAGACAAACAAAAATAAATCTATCCCACGGGAATTATTATTATTAATAATTAAAATCCAATCAGCTGTTTTTGAGTACTATAAAATGTATAACTTACTATAGTTTTTTAACTATCCCACGGGAACTCTTTAATATTCCGGGATGAAGAGTATCTAAAATGTTGACCGGGGATATGAGGTACCACCATGCAAAATTTCAATTAAATCGCTCCAACAGTTTCGGAGCCCGTACAAACAAACAAACAGACAGAGAAACAAAAAAATTGAAAAAAATAAAACTGGACTTGTTCTTCTTACATCCGGACTCAGTATTTAACCCTTTTTTTATGTACAGATATTTGACCTCTACAGTTCTATTATATGTGTAGATTAGCTGTTATTCATTATATCTTCGGAGTTACGAAAGCTTTGTACTTTTCACTTTACAAAAGTACAAATTTAGATACTAAAAAAATTTGAAAAATTGAGGTTACTTCTTCCTTATAGTACAAATAAATAAACACAAAACAAACATACGATTTACCTTATTTATTTTTAATTACAAGTAAGTATTAAGTTGCAAAAAATGACATGAATATTTTGTCTTCATTGATCACTTTATTTCCATAATATTGTCTTTTATGAAGCTGTATAATATTGCTGAATATAATATGAATTGGGAATCCTTGATTTAAAATTATGTTAGCTTACAGTAAATAGTGTATACAAATGTATATGATATAACTTTAACCAAAAAAAAACAACAATAATTTCATCTTTCATAATTATCTAGTATAATACCACTACATACATAGTAATGATACCAAATTTTACAATCACAGTGATAGATTTCCACAGGTATCAAAAACTGTAACATAATTAGTATTATTTTATAGTGCATTTTGTTTTAGAAACCACTATATGAACAGTGAGAATATTTAATGTTTAACATGATTGACTATAGCACCCCATATATTGTCCAGCAAAGTGAAGCTGCAGTGGGGTGTCAGAAATAATATTCACAAATCCACAGCTCATATTGCGCACCATTAGAAAAATAAATTATAGACGAGCCTAACCTAAACATTCTGCTTATCTTGGCATATGTTCTCTGCAGATCTGAAAAAAATAAAGTAGAGATAAACTTTGTGTGTTTGTGACGTTGAAGGGGGTAATCTCTGAATCTACTGAACCGATTTAGATGAAATTTGGTAAGAAGATAGTTTAAGACTCTGGGACGGACAAAACCTTAGTCTCTCCCGTGACTATGATTTCTGTAAAGCATTCGAAGCGTCGGGAACCAAAAAGCTAAATAACTCTTCGAAATAATCCGAAATGATAGTTTTATTTAAGACAAATGAATTATTAATATAGGTTAAGCCGTTTAGTAATTACGAGGGAACATCCAATATTTTAGTTTCTTCAAAAGGTAGAGCGCAAGACGAAAAAAATTAGCCCTATCTGAAAATTGAATGATTTTTTTTGTAAAAAGCCATTTAAAGTTGGGGAAGATTTTTCATATATACCTGCTAACGATTCTTATATACCTGCTAACGTTTTAAAAACATAATACTTCAGGTTTTAATTTTTTGTAGAGCGCATAATTTATTAAAATTAAAGAAAAACTAAATAACGAATAAAAACTTAATTTGTTTCGAATTAGGTACTTGAATAATTTTGTATTAATCTTTCTTTTCTCAAACTTCAAACTTGTTAAAAAAGTATATTTGGTTTGTTCATGACCCCCTTGACCCGCCTCTCCTGGATCCGCACTTGATGTAACGTCACATAGAGCCGAGCGGCCGATCAACTTTAAAATCCATACTAAAATATTATAAATGTGATACATAGTGACGGAGTATAGATAGTATAGAAATAGTCGGAGGGCTGAAGAGTGACATAGGCTCTTTTTACCGCGGGTGATTATCTCATTCCCACGGGAAAACACACGTTATGATACAACAACAAAAAATTTTTTTATCAGAATTACTTGAAACTTGTTATTAATGCACTTCAATACAATTAAGTAAATACGTGTTTTAGCATTTTTCGAAATTCATCCGCTAAGGAGGCAAAATAGGGGGTGAAAGATTGTATGAAACCTGCTTTTTTAGTTTTTGTATTTAGTTTAAGCGCGAGCGAAGCCGCGTTCCCCTAGTGCTATATGTATGTTTATCATTTTTTGAGATCTACAGAGGCACTTCTACGAGCCACTGAACAAAAGATTTGAATTGAGGTATTGAGATCGAATATTTCTTAAGTTTAGTTTAAATTTTGATTTTCATTCATAAAAATAATCATGAAACTACTCCTTTAAGAAAACATACCGCAGTTGAGCAGGAAAGTGGTGTATAGTTTGACTGTGGGTTTGGAGTCGTAGCAAATGTATTCATTTGCATCTGTGGCGGTGGATGGGTCGCGAGGGGGGAGACGGGAGGAGCCATCCCACTGACTCCCCCACTAGTATTGTTCGGACTGCCCGTCGTTGATAACCGGGAGAAAGCAGCTAGAGCATCAGGGAAGTTTGGCGGTGTTGCTGGAGTATTGCATGGTGTCATGAGTTGCTGTAAAAGATTTTTTTTTATATTAAAATTATTATTGCAAGTTCTATATACACCTTCATTTTATATATAATGTAATATATGTAAATATGTTAAAAATAAGACATGGTTGTATAGTTCTCGTCAAACTTATTGACCGCCCTGAATGGGGCTACCGCTCTTGAATTGGTCGCAAGAGGGCGCTAGTGTAGTATAAAGTCCCTAGAAATGACACAACGTTTACTGTTTGCGAGCTTTTTATAGCAGATTTTCACTAATATTCATAACTAGCTTTGCCCGCGGCTCCATCCGCGTTCAGGTGACCAAAAACTAAATTCTTAGGTTTTACATATTAGTATACTCTTACATTGCAGTTTTTGTATTTTTCTCAGAAATAAGATATTTTCCCGCGATAAAAAGTATCCTATATGTTGATCCGGATAACCAGCTATCACCATACCAAATTTCATCAAAATCCCTCCAGTGGTTTTTCCGTGATGCGGTAACAGACAGACAAAAATTCTAAAAACTATAGATTCGGCCTCTGTATCGATAATAATGTTTATTTCTATAAGATTTTCCAAAAAATATTTAATGTACAGATTCGGCTTAGTTAGAATTTTATTATATGTATAGATTACTAGCGACTCACCCTCGCTTCACTCGGGTTTGTCGCTAGGTATGTTTTATATATAATATTATATCAAATCCTGATAGAACTGTTTTCGCGCTAACCCCAAAAAAGGATGGAGTTTTATATTTTCGGTAACAATCAACATTATCGTTATATAATTGTTATAAATATATTTATACTATACTGATATTTTGTCAAGAAATCATCGTAAAAACAGTTTTTATGTATTTTTTAAATTTAGTCGTAATAAACACTCATTCCTTGTGACGGCGGCGACGAGCGGCGAGCCTCGGTCGCATTTTTTTTCTTTGTGAAAACAACTTTGATTTGCATTTAAGGTTCAATTTACATTGTTGTATATTTATTTTAACTAAAATAATCACCTAACCACGATTTAAAGAGAACTTTTGCATGGATTTGTGTATCTAGTACTTTTTTGATCGATGCTTTTCAACGACCTCACTCGCCAGTGGCGCCAACTGGCACCAGCAACGCTAGCCCTAATTGACGCAAGCCGATCGCAGAACCAAACGCAAACATTAGGGTATCGGGCAAGAGGCGCAGCGCGGGGGATGCGGCCTGCGGGTCGCCTCTTCTCTTCTTCCCACCCGCAACGCCTGAGAGCTTGGCTAACGTGTGCGTGACACGTCTGTACATAAACTACACACACGGGACATTTGAAATTTTGAGTACAAAATTCTTAATGACGTCTTTATTATTGTTGTAATATATTTATTTTGTTACATTGTGTTGCGTCTAACTTTTGTTATTTATACCTCGCGGATTTTGTAATGTGGTTGATACGTTGACAGGATTGTAAAAAATTGTATATGACACATTTAAAAAGTCTTTGATGGTTAAATGAATTTAATTTCGAAATCCTCTTAATTTATATTGTAATTACATTTATTAAAACTATATAAAAAAGCATTGCATATGAAACAAGTAATAAATAACAATATACATAACATTTTATTAACATATATATTTTATGATTGCTTTAACCATTGTCTACTCGAATAATTATGTACTCGTATGTGCGCGAGGTTGCTAGCGGCAACTTCAGGGCGGCCAAAAAGTTTGGCGAGAACTATACTCAATCTACACATTATTATAATAAAATTGTAACTAAGCCCAATCTACATTAAATGTTTTTTTTGGAAATTCTTCTTGAAATAAACATTATTATCGATAGAGGTCGAATCTATAGTTTTTAGAATTTTTGTCTGTCTGTCTGTCTTTTACCGCATCACAGGAAAACCACTGCACGGATTTTGATGAAATTTGGTATGGTGATAGCTGGTTATCCGGGTCAACATATAGGATACTTTTTACTGCGAGAAAATACCTCATTTCTGAGACAAAAACTGCAATGTAAGAGTATACTAATATGTAAAACCTAAGAATTTGGATTTTGGTCATCTCAGGGCGGGCGGAGCCGCGGGCAATGCTAGTATTTTAATATTATCGCTATCTTTGAATACTAAGCAAAATGATTTTAAAATTGTGACATTAATTATAACAAAAGATTATATATATTGATAAATTCCTATATCCTTATTTAAAAAAGCAAAACAATAAATAAAATGCAAAAAAATCTTATCTTTATTTACTCTTTAATAGTCATTAATTCTTGAAAAAAATGTAGTTTATTATAATTTGACTCCTATCTACATACATTAGTAGTTTTTAGTATGTTTCTAAGGTGGATCTGGTTCCATGGTAAGCTATGAGGATTGTGTTATGGATACAAAATTCTTGATACATACACATATAACTTTAAATACATTTATATTATAAATATAAACACCCATGACTGAGATTAATAAACATTCATGCTCATCACACAAATAAATGCAACCAGCTGGACTCAAACCCCCAAACACTCACTACAAACCGAGCTAAATGTGTAGTTAAAACATTTATAAACAATAATGAACTATCTCTTTTATTTTACTTATTAATTGACATGAATTTAGTACATAATATATAAAACCAATAGACCTGACTCATGCCTACATGCATGCTTAAGCTCATTCTCATTAGAATTTTTGAGAAGTTATGAGATTTAATAATCAATTTCCCATATTAAGTCGATACAAATTTATTATGAAAATTATTATAATAATTTTAAAGTTAAATAAGTAAACAATAATAGATATGTTTTACTATGGACCTTTAAATTGTGTTGGAGGAGTGTTATATAAATGAATAAGGGTTAAAAATAAGTCAATCATTTCCATCTAAAAAGACTTTCTAGAAAATTATTTTACGTATCATTTACTAACCGACTTCCAAAAAGGAGGAGGTTCTCAAGTTGTCGGAATCTTTTTTTATGTATGTTACCGATTACTTGAAGACACCTATATTGTCGGTTGGCTTGACAACTTAGCAACGATTTTGAAAATATCTGATTAGGTATGTATTCTAAATTAAAACCCCCGTTTAGTTATTTTTTTAAATTTTAGTGCCTGGAAGTCAGTTTTTTTTAAGTTTTTTATTTATTGACTTTCTTATAAAGTAGATATTATATAGAGCAAAAATTATTAAACTAAGTAATTGTAGTTCAAGGTAAATTAGACATTAATTATTTATATCTCTTTAAAACAGATAGACAACATAAATTCTTTTTCTCTCTGTCCAATCCACTCTTCACTATAGTAACCTTTTTTTTTTAACGTTGGGAAATGCATTTACGCACGAAGTGTGGGACTCACCGGCGAAGCCAGTACTACCCACTAAAACCCAACACAACATTTCCCCGTCTTAATGGGGCGTCGCAGGATCGCTTACGCATTAAACTACGACGCCCCGACGGCAGGTCTGCCGAAGCAGACCACAACAACCACGGGGTTGCTCCAAGGTCCACTCTGCTATAAGAGAAGTACCAGGAGCAACCCGCATGGTACACCGCCCCCCGAAGAGGGCCACCTCCCACCGCCTACCGAAGTGGGCCACCTCCCTGTGCGTTTCTTGGCTTCGCGCCCGGCTATATTTCCGGGCACTACTGAGCCTCCCCACCACGTCAAGGTGAACGCACGTTGGGGGGGTCACTATAGTAACCTACACTAAGTTCCAGAATACTTATGTTGAGAAAAATTAAAAAAATAATTTAATATGTAAATGCTACTTAGCATTAAAGTATGATAAGGAACGATTGGGCAGATTTGAAATTACTTGTCTGTAATTTCTAATTATATTGTGTGTTAAAGAAAAATGATCATTTTATACATAAAAATAATTTTGACATCTAATATAACAGTATTAATTAAAACTAAGAATGAATAATATTTAATTTAAGAAAATGATTCTATCATAATTGTAAAATAAATTATACATTCTTTTTTGTGCTTTATAAATTTAAATCATCTACCTAAAACCATAAAGTAAAAACTAACTATATTTGTCTATCCACTATATAGTATGGTATACCTGATGATAGTGTTGTGCAGCTATACCATTTGCCCCAGATGGGATGGCAACTTCTTGAAAGAATATTGACAGTGCAGTCTGTAAACAAATATCAATACAACAATATGTTAATGTCTACAAATTACATATTCTTAATTTTATATCTTTGTAAAAATTAAACAAGAGCTTAAGCTTACGCCTAAAAACACCAATAAGTTAATATTAAATATTTTTATTTTAATAATGTGATTGATAACTTTAATGAAAAATGTGATTGATTGGTTTCACATCCTAATATTAATCAAAGTAATTATTATACATATATTTTTGAAGAGTAGAAAAAAATATTCAAATTGTTGTCATGAAATTATACAAGATCATCAAAAAATAAATATGTTATTACCTTATTAAAATAGTATACCTATTAGCTTTTTAAAACATAGCTACTACAAAAACTACAGTGTGAAAAATAAGTAGGCTATTCAATGTTATTAGGTTAAATGTCATTATTATTATAAACATTATCTAAGGATAAAGAAAATTTTCTTATTAAATTGTCTTATTGAACTTATTATTCTATTGTTGATATATTCTGAGATGATATTTACTAACTATAAGCTTATTTTGTAGTATTATCAATGTGTATACGTTCTAGATACGGTCAAGGTAAATGATCGTTTACCATTACTCTAAAAGAATACTATATTTAATTCGTAATCTTAACTTGCAACAGTTGATATTAGGAATCTATTATTGATAAATTTAAAAGCTTTAAGCAAATTATGAGAGAAGGAGCAGCCATTTCATGATTTTATTGTTTGTTTACATGTATTTCACAAAAATACCTCAAATTGCCAATGTGCAGCCTGTAGTAATTGTTTAGCTTGTTCTCGTGCACATCCAGCCGCTAGTACAAATTGATTTATCATTACTTGTTCACGCAAAGAATCCATTGTATATTGTCCTGTTACCAAATATATGTTCAGCGAATCACCAAGAATTAGAGGTGTAGCAAAGCAAATGAATGTTTATTCACGTTATGAATGCAAACGTAATATTATTATTGGCGCTAGTAGCATATATTTCATTACAAGAGTAAAAGAGAGAGCACGAGTTTACATAATACTCTTCGTCATTATTTTTAGTCCGGCCTTGTTTCTTCATTAGTATATTTGACTTTGACTATATGTCATTCAGCCCATAAATTAAACTTTAAATATAAGTTCACTCAAATATTAATAAAAACAAACAACAATAAATGGACTTGTTTTAATATAAATTTAAAGTAAACTAAAACATATTATTATATTTTTTTGGACCAAATTGCTTGACACTCATGATTTTATGACATGCTTAGAGTATACATAAGCTATGTATACTCTAAGATGACATGATTAAATAATAAATATTAATTTTGTTGGTCAGCTGTTGTCAAAAACCTACTGCGTTTTTGCTAAAATAATAATAATAAATATTAACACACAAAATTGTAGAGTGGGATCGATGGGATTTAAAAAAATAAGTTACTTACTTCTTTTCTAATCTGTTTTGGCTTAAAAATGAATATGACGATTGACAAACGAAATGTCAAACATTACATCTGTGGCGGAGGCGGTGGAAGGGCCGCGAGGGGGGAGATGGGAGAAGCAAGGATTTTATATATGTTCCATAAACGAGGATTGTGCACTGCACATTGAACACAAACTAAAATATATCTTGTTAAGCAGACATAAAGTTGATTTTCCCTATCATTCACTTTACGAGCTAGCGAAAGGGGTCTTAGCGGTAGCGCTTTCTCTTTCTAATGTTGCTAGAGTAAATAAATAAACGGATTGGTAGTTTATAACCTAGAAAAAATAAATTGTTACGATTTCTTTTATCCAGTAATATCTTAATTCATCATAGTACAAGTGAATAAAAAATGTTTATGTATGTAACGTCAGCTATTACCATTACTTACTTATAACTATCCGTAATTATATTAACCATAGTATTTGGGCCAACGGAGGCGTCTAGATAGCTCAATCGTGCAGGGACCGCGGGACGAGACAGGGGAGGTAGCCAGCCCAAGTTGCACTACTCTAACTTGGGACACACCGTTCAGCAGTGACCCATTTTTATTAATTGTATCGTTTATTAATATAATAATAATAAAATAGTTCATACTACGTGTAGGTACCGTTATAGGCTGTGTACAATGGTAATATGTATTGTTATCATTAACGTATAACAAAAGGTGGACGGAACTTCATATGCTTAACAAGTGAAGTACCCTATAATGATTGTTATAACAATGTTACTTCAACAAAAATGCAACTGTTGCTATAATCAATAAACCATTATTTATTATTATATTCTTTATTGCACTTAAAATATGATACAGAAAAAAAAACAAAGTAAACATAGTTCACAAAGGTGGACTTATCTCTAAAAGAGATCTCTTCCAGTCAACCCTGGTTGTGGAAGAAGATGTCAGCGGGCAATATAGTGCAAAAAAAAAAAACTAAATATATACTAGAAATAAAGGTAATAATAACCACTTATACATACATACATACATACATACATACATATATACATACATATATACAAAAATATATAATACTATAAATATATAATACCTGATGTAAAGACTACTTATACATACAAACATATATACATATACATAGTTAATATATAAAATATGAAAATGGAGAAAGGTACTGATTGATATTGTCTACATTTGTGAGAATAAATAATTTTTTAATTTACATTTAAAAACATGAATAGATGGGCTCTCATGGATGGATTTGGGCAGTTGGTTCCATAGTACTGCGGCATGGACAGAAAAAGAGTTTTGTTGGAATTTAGTATTGCTCCTAGGAATGTCGAGCATAGAAGTACTGCAAGATCTTCTGGAACGTGTAGGGATTGGTAGAAAGTTAAAACGGGAACGAAGGTAAGGAGGGAAATTTTGATTTTTAAGGATATTATAAAGGAATGATAGGATGTGCATATTACGGCGAAGACGGATGGGGAGCCACTTAAGTTGAGCACGGAAGTCAGAGATGTGGTCATATTTCCGCAAGCCAAAGATAAAACGTATGGCGAGATTCTGAAGACGCTCCAGTTTATTAAGTAGCTCCTCTGTCACATCCAGGAAGCAGACGTCGGCGTAGTCGAGAATGGGTAATAGGATGGATTGCGCTAGCATTATTTTGGTTTTGAATGGGAGAAAGTATTGGAGACGCTTGAGAGAATGAAAGGAAAAATGCATACGTTTACTTAGTTCGTTAATATGAGGTGCCCAAGACATGTTACAATCAAAGATGAGACCTAAATTTCTCACCTTATCCGAGTAATATATAGGGATTCCAGAGTACAGGATATCAGGTACTAAGGTCCAGTCAATCCTACTTCGTAGTCTGCTGCTACCAATAATTATAGATTGCGATTTTTTGGGGTTTACTAATAGACCGAAAGATTCAGCCCAGCTTTGGATCGCAGCTAAATCATTGTTCAAAGCCGTAACAGCCTCAGGCAACTCAATTAAATTACAATGTCGGTATATCTGCAAGTCATCTGCATACAAATGGTAGGGAGAAGAAATGACATGTGAGATATTATTAATGAAAATAGAAAAAAGTAGTGGGGAAAGTACGCCGCCTTGGGGAACACCAGCTGTAAGATTCAACCATGACGATAAGTTATCATTGGCTGTCACGCGCTGCCGGCGCCCGAAAAGATATGATTGGAACCAATTTATAACTGCGGGAGACATATTAACAGTTCGTAGAGTGCCAAGAAGTATATCGAAATCAACCGAGCTGAACGCGTTACTGAAATCAAGCAAAACCATTACAGTGAGCTTAGTGTTGTCCATGGCGGACCGAATGTCCTCCGTGATGTTCAGCAACGCGCCAACAGTACTGTGAAAAGGACGAAAGCCTGATTGGAAGGGACATAACAAATTATTCGAGGTGAGGTAAGTGTAAAGTTGGCTGTTAACGATAGATTCTAGGACTTTGGAGAGGATAGGGAGAATAGATATAGGGCGAAATTGGGTGGGGCAGGTAGGATTAGAGGTTTTAGGTAATGGGATGATAAAAGCATTCTTCCACAGTGAAGGAAAAACATTGGAAGATAGTGAAAAATTTAAAATGTGGGTGATCACTGGTGCAATGTCCTCTAACACAAGTAAAATCATATGTAGACTGAGATTGTCACTTCCAATGGCTTTAGTCGAGATAGATCGGACACACTTCTTAACAATGTCTTCAGAGACAGATTTAAATGAGAAAGGGAGAGAGTCAGGTGGGACAACGTGAGATAAAAATTTAAGGGTATCGGATTTCACTTGAGGGTTTAAAGTTATGGGTGGAGTTGCAAAATGAGAATTTAATGTATTAAGATCTTCGGAGACCACATGGGTATTCGAAGTTTTGCCCACGCCTAGCGACTCTAAGAACCTCCAAACTTGTGCTTGGCAAAGATCCTGAATGGTGGAGTGAATATAACGACGCTTAGCATCCCTACACATTCTATTGCAGATGTTGCGCAGTTTCTTGTATGCATTAAGATTTTCCTGAGATGGATATTTTTTGTTTTTAACTTTGGCCCTGTCACGTTTAGCCATAGTTCTTTTGATGACTGGCGTTAGCCATGGGGCAGGAGCATGTTTCATTCTAACTGGCCTAACAGGAGCATGTACATCGTATAAATTAATCAATTCAGTAGTTAGTGAATTAACCATACAGTCGATGTTAGTAGAAGACAGTACAGACGACCAATCTATGTTCCTCACATCCTCCCTTAAGCGTTCAAGGTCCAAATGCTTAAAATTGCGCTGGAAAACTATTTTGCCTCTAACCTTGGGAGGTCGCAATTTATATGCAAGGTAGATTAAATCGTGATGAGAAAAAGGGGCAGTCAGCTGACCATGAGAAATAACAAGGTTAGGGTTAGAGACGAACATGACATCAATAAGAGATGGCCTACAATTCGGAAAGTAGTGAGTGGGGAAAGTAGCAGGTAGAACGTGCAAGTCATATGAAGTCATGAGCGCGTTCAACATATGTGTTCTCGTGTCATTTTTTAGGAGACACGTGTTTAAATCGCCCATGCAGATAACATGATCGTAATCAGGTAAAAGATTCTCAAATAAACATTCCAGGTTATTAAAATAGTTAATTTGGTCGTTTGGACAGTAAAGAACGCCGATAAGAATTTTTTTATGTTTTAAAACTGTTTTTATAAAAAGGTATTCAAGATGACCTGTGGGCTGAGAGAGGGAGCAAGTAACAACACTGGCAGGAATGTTGCCGCGGAGGTAAATGCCAACGCCGCCACCACCCCTTTCAGTGCGGTCATTACGGAATAGCTTATAACCAGGAAGAGAACAGCTAGAAGAAGGAAAAGATGGCTTTAACCAGGTTTCAGATATTAGAATACAATCAACTTCGCCGGCGCTGAAAGATGTGAGAAGATCGTTATAGTGAGCAGGTACGCTCTGCGCGTTAATATGCACCAAGGAGAATAAAGAGCCGTCAACAAAAATCTTTGACAATTTATCATTCAGCGGTTCTGAGTCAGAAAGCGACGTATGACTTTCAGCACTATCATAGTCACTAGAAGAGCACGAAAAATATTCATTATCAATCATTATTCTACAATAGATCAGTACTTAAAAAAAAGAAGAAAATATAATATGTATATAAAAAAAATATGTATATAAAATATATATATTAAAATATAAATATATATAACAAAATAAGTTGATAACAAAAATATTAATAAAAGTACAACTAATTTTATCCACCAGCATAAGCTGACTAAAGTTAATAAAAAAACAATACAATTAAAAAAAAAAGAAAATTTCAGAGCAGACAGTTTACATTTACAATTAACAATAGACTACAGGCAACACCAGTGGTCACCGGGGAAACGGAACGCAACTTTTGACATATGTCAATGTATACATTTTCAATTTTGTGACAACTGACAAGTGACAAACAAGAAAAGTTGAAATTGTAAATTTAACATATTAAATAAAACGTTACCTACTTGTACATACCCTTCATAAGTAAAAAAGTAAATAGTTTATTAACTTAGGTTGAGCCTTAAAGTATAAACCGACCAAGTTAAAGTGGTGTAAACAAGATTCAGTTGTTGTCAGCGGGCTTCATTGTAGAACTTTGTGCAATAATTCTCTTCAACTCAGACAACGATGATATTTTGATTCGGGACTTGTTTGGAAGAAGAATAATGATCATGCCGTCTGCCGACCAACAATTCCTCATTCCAAAGTGGTTGCGAGCCGCTATGAATATTTCTTGTCGGGGCTTAGTTAAAAACTCAGTCACTGTTATTTTGGAGCCTTTTAAACTTGTTTTGGCCTTCCACACGCAAGATCGAAGATGTAGATTGGTGAATCTAACTAAGATGGGGCGAGCTGACTCCTTTTTAGCGCCCAATCTATGGCAAGACTCAATTGCAGTAGACTTGGCATCCGACAACTTCATCCGGCCGGTTAATACTCCAAGAGTCTTCTGCAGCACATCCTCATCCTTGTCTTCACTGATTCCATGTAGAAGAAGAACTTTCCTACGGGACTGTGTCTCTAAGCGGTCCATTCCAAGTGCAACAAGCTCAACCTGGGACTTTAATAAGCCAAGAGATTGCCATACAAAGTTCTTGAACGTGTAGAATTCCGCGGCCAAGGCTTTAACTGTTGGAGCAGGAGCAGAAGAACCCGGTTGAGATAAATTTTTTTCAAACTCTCCCATTCTGGTTGTGAATATGGAGGAAAGTTCCTCCATGCTCTTAAGAAGCTGTTCCACTGGTGTATCCATGGTTTATTGGTATTTAAAGTATGTGTGTGAGTTCAGTTAAGTCAACTTAATTACAGGTAATACACAATCAGCACATATAAATTATTAGTTATATTTATTTTAATTAAATAAAGTGGAGCTCAAAAAAATATGTCTATATACTTTTATGTCTATTCGCGAAAGAATGAAAGAAATGTTTATTCGCGAAAGAATCACATTGTGTTATTAAAATTTTACTACTTTAACTAATTTTTAATATGTATTTTGTATTTTTGTTTATAATAAAAGGATTCACAACGAAACTTTATTGTTTACATCATATTCATGGTACCTACTAGTACCCTACATAAAAGTACTATCAATAAAAAATTTGAAACTGTGAAACAGACGATTATAAATAAAAAAAAATGTGACAACCCTGCGCCAATGATGAAAACCGGCATTTCGCGTGACTTTGTCTACTGTAGTTTTTTAGTTACATTGTGTTTATACGATCAGTAATTTTACTTTTATTATGATAACAACACTGACTTTTAAATTATGGTGACGTTATTTAAATGGGGAGAAGGATGAAGGTGGTTGGAGTAAATATTTTTTGTACCAAAATTTAGATATTACCTAAGAAGAGGAATATAAACGAAATCTCTGAAAGAAGTAATGATATTTTTTATACCGAAATTTAGATATTACCTAGGAAGAGGAATATAAACGAAATCCAGACCAGTGGAAAAGCATAGTTAAGTTTGTAGTTTATTATTTTTATTGCAGTAAATACGCACGGTGACTATGAAGCCAAACGAGCCTTTTTTATATGTGCGTCTCGGGACTAGTCAGGACGTCCGACAGAAGTGATTACGTACCAGTTTACCCCCCCATAAGAAGTAATTACTTCAATAAGAAGTTATCACTTTTACTTAGTTACTAGATAAAGCTTGCCTAGATTTTCCTAGCAAACAAATATTATGGTTACCCTACTAGAAAGAGACAATGCTACCGATAACTCACCTCTCTCTCTGCTCGATTTTATTGGTGAGTGCACAATCCTGTTTATGGAATATATAAAATCCTTGGGGAGAAGTCGGAAGCCCTTAGCCATCTCACTGAGGAGTGAGAACCCCACCATAGAGTATATTGCTACATACCTATATAAAACCCCACTAGCATTGTTCGGATTCGGAATATCTGTCATTGATAACCGGAAGAAAGCAGCTAGAGCATTAGGGAAGTTTGGCGGTGTTGCTGGAGTATTGCATGGTGTTATGAGTTGCTGTAATTTTTTTATATTAAGACTATTATTGCAAGTTCTATATACACCTCCATTTTACATATTATGTAAAATATGAATTTAAACGGTTTGAGGAAAAATAAAATGTTTCAGAAAGTAAGACATGGTTGTATAGTTCTCGCCAAACTTCTTGACCACCCTGAATGGGGGCTACTGCTCTTGAGTTGACCGTAAGATGACCGCTAGTATAGAATGAGGTCTCTAGAAATGACAAATGACACAACGTTTACTGCATAGAGTATATTGCTACATATATAAAGTTTACTGTTTCCGAGCTTTTCATCGCGGATTTTCACTAATATTCATAATTATTATAAAGATTGTGCCTATGTGTATTCGTTTCTGCTAAAATAATAACAAAAAATATTAACACACGAAATTGTACAGTAGGATCCATGAGACCTAAAAAAAGAAGTTTTACCTACTTCCTTTCTAATCTGTTTTGGTTTCTTTAATCTATAATCATATCTAAGATCATGGATGACAAATAAATTAAGATGAATGTCTGACATTGACGATTGACAAACGAAATGTCAAACATTGAAATGTGTTTTCAAATAAAATGTTGGCTAAAAAACGACTACAATGTGCTTATGATATTATTGTAATGTTTATATAAAATTGGTACCAGAATAAACTATTTGGATAAAGATTGAATTAATTTTTTTGATATGAGTACCAACGGATATACAGATGAACCAGTTAGCAAAAAGCGTAGAACGGGAAAAGAAAGTAAGATAAGAATTTTATAAACTCATTGGTTATTCGTACGCATATTAGTAATTCTATATTTATGGAATAATAAAATGTAATTTACATCTTTTACAGGCAATTTACATACGGAAATAAAATCTAATCCAGAACATAAACAAAAACCGAGGAAAAAGCATATTCCTAATTTTCGCTTAAAATCAACTGGAGAAACTGCATCTTTAAGTGTAGAAAATAATGAAAGAGTTCCGTTACTACTTACAGACATACAACATTTATTATTACATTCTTTGTTAGGGAACCTGAATTTAACACAGCCACCACGTTGGTATGTATTAGATAAATGTAGTCACATAAGTCAAACCTCTTGTCTAATTATTGAAGGTATATCTATAGAACATTGGGTAAAATATCAAAGCACCATGTCTAATACAGTTAAAATATTTAACAATTTTGTAGAAATTCTTACTCCTTCAATATATAATGGCTCACTAGTTAAAGAGCTAGCTTTAGTGCCTTTATCAGAATCAGAAAAAGAGAGCATAATACAAAAATATGGCAGTATTAATCTAGCTCTACAGGTGCGAAAGGATTTAATGATTATGATGAAAGCTATTTTTCCTATAAATGATGGAATACCTGAAAATCCAGAAAAAAATATTCTTGGTGAGAAATTCCCTAGAACACAACTGATACTTTCTGCATGGCAATTGATTGAGGAAAATTATCCAGTACCATTAAAGGGTAAATTAAAAAATATTTATGCAGATTATGTTATGACTAAAGATGAATATAAGCCTGTAACAGCAACATCACCAATGTTTGGTTTGGATTGTGAAATGTGTATGACCAACATAGGTTCTGAACTTACAAGAGTGTCAGTAGTAAATGAGAAGTATGAAACTGTTTATGAGTCTCTTGTTAAACCCTACAATAACATTGTTGATTACTTAACAAAGTATTCAGGAATTACTAAATCATTACTATCAAATGTAACTAAAAGATTAGAAGATGTACAACAAGAACTTCGAGAGCTTCTACCCCCTGATGCAATATTAGTTGGGCAATCTTTAAATGTGGATTTGCATGCCCTAAAAATGATGCACCCTTATGTTATAGATACCAGCTTAATCTATAATTTTACTGGAGAAAGAACCAGAAAACCGAAATTGAAAGTATTAGCTAAAGAATTTCTTAATCAAAATATTCAAAATGGAAATAATGGACATTGTTCTGTAGAAGATTCTCTGGCTTCACTAAAACTTGTTCAGCTAAAACTTAGTAAAAGTATAGAATTTGGAGATGCTGTGCATACAAATAGAGAAAAATATAAAGAAAATATATTAAAAATGTCTGTAGAACCACATTTAGCTTTATCTATATTTAATCATATAATTGAACAAAAAAAAACATCTTTAGTAGTTGGGTGTGATAATATAACAGGTGACTATCACACCTTTTTAACTCAAGCTAAGGAAAGTTTAAGCATACAATTGAAAAAATGCAAAACTAAAAAGGTGAAATTAAATACTGTGGATGATGTGGAAGAAGTGATATCTTCAGTAAAAGATGGAGTTAATGAATACAATTTAGTAATGGGCCATTTAAAACTTAACTGTCCTGACAATGATGATGATGAAATTAAAACAATGCAAAGAATAGATGATTGGATTGCAAGTATTTGGAGTAGTCTTCCGGCTTCAGCTCTATGTGTAGTTGTGTTTGGTGGTACTACTAGTGACAATGGCATTGCAATTATGAAAGTCAAGAATACTTTATAGAAAAGTATTAAATAAGGTTTTCAAATTTGTTGTTTGATTTTTATTTAAATTTATTTAGTCCCTTATATGAAAAAATAATTGTAAGGAAAATAAAAATAACAGATGTTGCATGTGAAAATTTCTTCATAAAATATTTAAATAAATTATTAGAAAAGAACATTTTTAAAAACAATATTTTACATCAATGTGCTAAAAAGAAGAAAATAAACTTTTTACATTTTTTTACCATTACTTTATTTATCTAATTTTTAACCGAGTTCCAAATAGGCGGAGGTTCCCAATTCGTCGGTTTTTTTATGTATGTTCACCCATTACTTGAAGACGCCTTTTTTTTTTTTTTTTATAGTTGGGAAATCCTATTACGGATACCACCCGACTTCCCCCCCAGGGTGGTTATGTGGAGACTCTCCGGCTAATGAGACCGGCATACCCACTAAAACCCAACTTTCCCCACAGCCGCCATGTGGGACGCCACGGGACCGCTTTCGCATACAACCGTGACGCCCCGACGGTTGGCCGAAGCCACCAACCATGAGGCCGCCCCAAGCGGGACGACCCCATTATGGGAAGACTTGCAACCCTGAGAAGTGAGACTGCTCCCAAGTCCACTCTGCTGAACAGAGAAGTACCCGGAGCAGCCCCACACGACCAAACACCACCCACCGAAGTGGGCAACCTGCAAAAAATAAGCGGCCTAAGCCTGACCTACCACACCCAAATTAGGCAAACCACCAATACGCCCGAAACCGAGCCCACCCCAAACGGCTGCAGGAGTAGAGGATGCGACAACGCCGACACTCCCCTTCCCCTACAGCCCCACCGCGTCTACCATCAACGGTGGTGGCCCCGCTGGGCCGCGGGAGATAGGGACGAGCGGCGCATCGCCATACCGACACTCCTCTTCCCCCGCGGCCCCCCTACCGTCGGCCCACCTCCGGACCAAGATGGCTGCCGACACCCACGCCAGACGCAGGACCACCGAACTGGCCCCGCTCCAGCCGCCGCACCGACGGGCTAGCCCCGGCAGCACAGCCCGCGCAGCGCCTCCTACCGCGAAACGGCCGGAGACACCGCGCTACCTCCAAGAAGGAGACGGCGCCCTCCTGACACCGCTCCCCCTGCCCCTCCTGGCTGTTGGTCCGCGCCGGATTGCTCCGGTACCACAAGCTCCTGTCTGGGGGAACAGTCGCGAGTGGCTTTCCCCTATCCGCCACCCGGGGACGCGTCCGGTAGCAGTCAGCCTCTGCCCCGGAACTTGAAGACGCCTGAACCGACTTAGAAATATTTATTTTGTTTCAAAGGTTTATCAAAATCGGTCGAGCGGTTTTAAAAAACATAATTATAAATTATGTTATTTAAAAACTTTCTTCTTACAAATTACCCGCCTAATTTTCATTTAGAATATATACCTAATCAGATATTTTCGAAGTCCGTGCCAGCCGACAATGTTTTAAGATATGAATACCTAATAGGTAAATATTAGGATTATGTATGAACTCTAATTATAGTTAAAATATTATAATACATCAATTTGTGATTGTTTCGGACGACCAGAACCAGGGTATGTCTAGTACCCGGAGGTCGACCTGGGACAATCTCCCAGACGTTCTTGGCGTACACGGCAGTATGTCCGTTCGCTGGTAATGTACGCCACCACGCACCCCTGAATGCGTAGCTTGGGTCCCGATCCACTAGGGTTTCTTCGTTGACAGGAGACTATACTTAGAGGCGATGAAATAAAAACACAATTTTTCCTTTTTTCTCTCTTGGTTTCGGTTCTTCCTTTTCCTTTTAGTTGTTGCCTCTTCGGTGGCTGTCTTGCGACTGACTCGAATCGAGAAATGGCTCGCCTTTTATTTGGCCCGTTAATACCTTACAGAGAGCCACGTACTTTGAGCTCGTTTTTCGAATAAAATTTCCCTAAACCGAAACCTTGAGAGTCCTTTTATTTTATGTTTTCAGTAAAACACCTTACACATATTTATTTATTTACATGCCTTACATACTATTATACAATATTAAAACATAATATTCAATATATAATAATTAATTAAAAAAGTCTTAAAACAAAAATATCTAAATTTCTAGGTTGCTACATTTTTACTATACATTTTCCCTTATAACTTTTGAACGGATAGTCCTATCGACCTAATTCTTGTTTTATTATAAGTTTTATAATAAAATCTATTATTTAAAACATAAACTATTATGCTATTGCAAGAAACAAAAAATCTCATTTTCAAGTTACGTAATTATATGCTAACATTTTACTTACGTACCTATTCCTTTCAAATTAATGTTAAATAGTCTTATATGATTCAAATAAGCAAAAAATACTCTAAACTAACCTTATTACACTAATTAGAACTTATTTTAACATAATAAATCTAATAAGAATGAGATTTCATATTTACAACAATTATTCATAATACGCTAAAATGACATTGTCCCTATATTAATACACACGTTACTCGAAGATAAGTTTTCCGTCGCCGACATTCTCCCCCTCGTGCTTTGCACCAACTCCTGGACTCGGCGACGCTCCCGGCACCAACAGCACCACTCTCGAACTGGGCCTCCGTAGAACACCTCCTCTGGTCTCGACGTCGACGACTCTGGTCCGCCCGTCTGGTCCAGGATACACATGCAGGATTCTTCCGCGTGGCCAGATGCATCTTGGTAGGCTGTGATCGACGATCAGTACGATGTCTCCGACTTGCAAATCTGTGGCGCTGACTCTTCCTTTGGTCTTCCTTGGTAGTAGAGTGGGCAAATACTCTCTCAGCCAACGTTGCCAGAAGTGATCGGCAAGTCGCTGCGTAGCCTTCCAGGTGTGTCTGCCCACAAGCTCGTTGTCCTCGAAGCTGCCGATTCTTGCTGCGCCACATGATCGCCCGATGAGAAAGTGGTTCGGTGTAAGTGCTTCTTCTTCAGGGTTCTCGGAGAGGTGGGTGAGGGGCCGAGAGTTGACTATGTGCTCGGCCTCTAACAGGAGGGTATGAAGTACCTCCTCTCGTGGTTGCCTTTCGTTGAGCGTGGCGTCCAGTGCGGTTTTAATGGATCGCACCAGACGCTCCCATGCACCTCCCATGTTTGGTGCACCAGGAGGTATGAACTTCCACTGCACACCGATCTTCTCCGCTTCCGAGATAAGGTCTTCTTGCTTCATGGTGTCTAGTGCTTCTTTGAGTTCTTTGTTGGCGCCAACGAAGTTAGTGCCATTGTCGGTGTAGATTATCTTTGGCATTCCCCTTCTCGCGGCGAATCGTCGTAGTGCCATGATCATGCTGTCAGTGGAGAGTGAAGGAGTGAGCTCAATGTGTACAGCTCGTGTTGTTAAGCATGTGAATAGAGCACCCCATCTCTTCTCATGGCGTCTTGCTACGGTGATCGTCATAGGGCCGAAGTAATCTATTCCCGTGCACGTAAATGGAGGGTTTCCGTGCATCAGCCTCTCAGCAGGTAAGTTGCCCACTGGTAGTTCTTGAGGTCTTGCCTTTCTTGTTTTGCACCACTGGCATTGATGTTGAATGGTCTTGATCGCTGACCTCAGTCCTAGCACCCAGAAGCGTTGTCTTACTTCGTTCATTACGGTCGCGTGATTCCCGTGATTGAAGCGGCAGTGAAATTCTTCTATGATGAGAAGTGTTGTCTTGTCCTTGCTGTCGAGTACGATGGGTCGTTTTGTAGTCTCTGGTAACCCCTCGTATCGCGTCGATTCTTCCTTTCAGTCGCAGGAGACCTTCTTCTAGCACTACGTCGAGCCTTTTCAACTTGCTGCTGCCCTCTAATTGTTTTCCTTGCTGTAGGCACCTGATGTCCTCTTTGAAGCATTTCTCTTGACTTCTTCTTAACAACAGCGTTTCAGCTTGCTCTAGTAGACTTGTTTCCAATGGTATGTATTTCCTTTCTGACGTTTTTGAAGACAGATGTCGCTTCTCAACAATTTTTCTTATTCCTTTTTGTAGTTTTCCAGGTAGGATCTTCTTTGCTGGCGTGAACCTTTTCCTTTCTTCTGCAGAGTTGTATGAACTGCAGTACTCTTGCTGTAGTTCGCCAAAGTCTTTTCCACGACGAGAACTTTTCGGGATCTGGTGATGGATAGGAGCTGCCTGCAGTCGCTACGATGTCCGCTGCCTTCTCTTCGCCAGTGGTTTCTTTCTTGAATGTTCTTGCCGCAGGCCAGTGAACTTCATCTCTTCTTAGAAACCCTGGTCCGGTGTACCATCGGTGTTGGCAGTCGAAGTGTTCTGGTACGTCACGTGTTGCATCATCTGCAGGGTTCTGCGCCGTCGGTACCCATCTCCAGTCCTGTGGTTTTGTGAGATCTTCTATCTCCGCCAAGCGATGAGCCACGAATGTCTTGAAGGTTCTCGGGTCCGTCTTGATCCATGATAGCACGATACTGGAGTCTGTCCAAACGTCTTCTTTTCTATTTTCAGATCCATTTCTTCCTCGACCGAGTGTGCCAATCTGCTTCCTAGGAGGGCCGCTTGCAGCTCGAGTCTCGGGATTGACACCGGCTTCAACGGAGCGACTCTTACTTTTGCTGCTACTAAGCTGACGTCATAAGTCCCATTTTGATTTTCAGTTCTCCAATATACCGTAGCTGCATACGCCATTTCGCTTGCATCCGTGAACGTGTGCAGCTCCCCCTCGGTGCGACGTGGTGCCAGACATCTCGGGATCTGAAGGTCTTGGAGCAGCTTCATCTTCTCCAGGTAAGTCTTCCATGACTCGTACTCCTTTTCTTCTATCTCTTCATCCCAACCGACGCCACTTCGCCATATGTTCTGGAGCAGCCTTTTGCCTTGGATGAGAATTGGTGATGCTAGCCCTAGTGGATCGAAGGTCGACATCACGGCGCTGGTGACTTCTCTCTTCGTAGGTACCTTGAGTCCTTGTGCCACTTCATCTGGCGTGTTCCGAAGGTTCGCCCTAAAGCCTATGGAGTCCCTTTCTGTAAACCAGCGTAGTCCCAGTGTCTTCTCTTCCTT